GCAGCATCAAGAGAGACGCAAACAAGTCACAGATGATTTAGTGAAGCAGTTCATGACACCCAGGCCTTTAAATTTTAACTTGTAGCTCACAGATCCGTGTTTATTTTGCTCAGCTTTTTTTCTCCATTTGAAGTCATCTGTAATGGGAGCAAACAGAAAAACTGCTCATGCTGCAGCAAATGCACATATTGTTGTTGAGGAGTGAAAGTGAAAGGCATGTTTTCTGAATCCTGCTTAAAGACAAACAAAAATCATCCGCTTCGGAAGTCTTCTGTGAAAATTTAACTTCTCACATCAGTGAACGCAACCCTGTATTATCACACTAATACGTTCACAGTTTGAGCCACTAATGCTTTGTTATTGGTCCTAATGTTCTAGAAACAAAGCAATGAAGGTTGTGATTACGTTTTGGGCTTTTAATGATGCATTTTGTATGTTTTTTCAGAGTTGAACGTCGTGCAGCACATAATTGAAATTAATTTTTAGGAAAACAGAATTGGGTGTAAAGATAGAATCAATGTTATACTTTTGAAAAAATGTTTGCATTAATATAAATCAGATGGTTAAGCACCAAAAAAAAATCTAATGGATCGAGGCTTTGCTTCAAAAGCTTCATGTTACCCACTCCATGCATTTAAAACACAATTATGATGTTTATATCAAAGTATTGTTCCTATTGAAGAAATATGAGTCATGGGTGTCCAAAGTGCAAACTGACATTTTTGTGGCACTGAATTAAAGAATTATACAACTTTTTTCTGTGCAGCAGCACAAAATAATTTCAAGACTGTATGATTTTATTTTAATACAGCAAACATGCAAAATCCTTTTTCAGGTTTTGGATCAACAATGAATAACATCTGTGTCCTACACAAACAAAAAGAAAATCTGATGACTATATTTACTTGATTTTGACTCAATATTTTTGACCCATGTGACAAAAAGTTTGGACACCCCTGTGCTAAGATATTCTAGCTGCTCTGTGCAATTCTCCACCACAGGCAAGAACCCATGACTGCATATTAGAGCAATCGTAGATCAGTTTAAGAAAATGCAAGAAAACGGATGGAAATTTCTGAGCTTGAAAATCTGCTAGAAAGAAAATCTAAATTTGAGAGTAATGTCAGAAATAAGAAAAATAAAAAGTCCCCAAATTTTAAAACTTTTTATGGTGGAAATTCAGTCCCTTTTTTAACTACAATGGCTAAACCTTTAGCATAATGGTTTAGCCATTATGCTAAAGGTTAAGTATAAGTATAATCACTATACTTAACTGTTTTCACAGTGTTCTTGGGCCTATTAAATCTGTCACTCAGTATTTCTTATAAGATCATAAAACTTCTCTCTAGAAAGCATTTGGCTTGTCCAAATTGATGAAGTTTGAATATTTATTTCCATTTATATAGACCCACCCAAAGTCTGATCTTATCTCTACTGCCAGATGGACCACAGAGACAATCCTGACCCCCACCTCATGAACCGTCCCTCACCTCTTGGAGGGGACGGTTTTATGGCAGGAAAGAGCTGATAAGGATTTCAGGAGAAACTTCTAATTCTTCTTTGTCAGTTACTCCTGGGTTCAGGTCAAACCAGGGTAAAAACTACATTCCACACATGTCAGTCCAATTTCCAGACCAAGCATTTTACCCAAGATGTCTTCAGGTCTCTTCTGCTGTCACAGCTGCAGAAACATCTAAACATTATCTGGAAACTTCTTTAATGGAAAAACACACCTTGCAGAAATACAAAAGCACAGCAGATATAATCGGTAAATAAATGGTAAAAAGTGTCATCAGTTCCATCAAAAATGAAATAATGGTAAAAATGAAATTTTCTATTATACTGCCCATATCAAAAACCGCCAATCCCAGGTGAGGTAAGTCGAACTAGTAATATTAAAAACACAAATCATACAAACAGTTGTAAAAGTAGTTTTTTAAGCTGCTTTTCCCTTATCGGCTTTTGTTTTTAAAGGTCCCATAAAATTGGATGAGTGGTGTTTTGGTCAGAAAGGTGTAAATAAACGCATATAATGAAAAATAAAAATAGTAATCGCATATCCATCCAGAATGATGACTGAGAAAACAAGGTAGTTTCTCTGCATTTAACATTTAACTAAACGCGTATGTACATTTTTTAACCTCTGTTGATTAAAGAATTAAAACATGTTCAGCTGATTCTTGTTTTTAAAAATAATTTCAGTTTGTCATCCAATCCACGAGAAAAAATAATTCAAATGGATCATTAAAAAGCCCAAATTAACTGCATTTATGCTCATGAGTGTATAAACTTCAAACACTGTATGTCAGTGCACTGCCTACACAAAATAAAGACCTGATGATGTCCAGGTCCAAAACTGATTAATGTAAAAAGAAGAAAAAAATAAATGATTAAATAAAGCAAAGATTTGTGTTTTAACAAGCAGATCCAGTAAAATGAGTGAAATTAACATGCATACACAATTTTTATAATCCAAACAATATCATTCCACATAATGTACAAACCTGGTCAGAAAGTTATCTCTCGCTGGGGTTGCTAGGTAACGGTCGGGCTTTGCTGGGGTTGCTAGGTAACAGCCAGCGACTGCTTATTTGTGACATTACATTCTTAAGATGTTCTCTGATGTTGCTATGTAATTCAAAAATAATTTATATTCCTTATTAGCGCAGTTTTAAACCTATATTTTGTTGAAGAAACAGGAACGCATGAAGCTTAAATTAAATTAGCACTTATGAAATCCCATTTTCAGCTGTGTCGTATATTACTGTGCATCTCAGCGCTGTAAAAACTGTAATCTATCACATAGATTCCTTCTGTTGTTGCTTTTTTTGTCACATCTAAATGTGAAAATAAATACATAATATCATTGTTAGACAACTGTGTTTTGCTTTATTTAGGCTATATTTGTGTGACAAAACAATAAGAACAGAAGAAATCTGAATGGGACGGTTCTTTTTCACACTGTATGATGACATGTTGGACTAGTTTCATTCAACAAGTAGAAAAGTTGAATCCAAAAAATGGTAAACCTTAAAAATTATGAGCACAGAAGAACATTTTTTTATTATTTTATGCCTTTTGTTTTTTAGGAAGCAACAAAGTTTGGTGTTGTACCAGAATGCAGGGTTTTAATGTACTTCAAACAAACAAACACTTTTACCTGGCAGCAATGGCATAATATTATTATTATTGTTATTTATTTCACTACAGGTATCCTTATTTATTTATTTTGACATACAATTTGAGAGTCCTAAAAAGCGCTATATAAATTTGAGTATTATTATTAAAAACTGCATTTTTTCGTGCCACACGAGTCATGTGACAAACAACTGGATTTTACTACAAACGGAAACAGCGAAGAAGACGACAGGAGGAACATGGCATGTTCTGTTAAAAAAAGCTAAACTTATTCAGGTGTTGGTTTAATTGTGTTTCTTATTTAACGGAAATGCTGCGAATGTGTGGGTCTTTTTTTATATTAGCGGAAATTTTACAAAGTTTTGTGCACATTTGTAATAAAAACACAACTAATGTCACCAATTGAATAAAAAAAAACTATCATTGATTATAAGTAAACAAAAAATGTGATGAAGACAAATATCTGACTTTTTTTTTCACAATTAAGTGTTCTAGAAAAAACCCAACCCACTTTCGAGACATGAAGTCTTCATGTATCCCAGTAAAAACAGAATAAACACTCTCATCCTCTCCAGTTTGGGAATCAAAACTCTACCGCGCTGATAAACTGAGAAAATAAAGGACTTTCCATGAATCACTGAACAAAAGCTAGATTTCACCGCTGGCTTCTTGGAGGAACCAAAACACCAAACAGAAGTGTTTGTCCTTAAACAGAAGACATAAAAATAAACAGATAAGTTAATTAATAACATTTAAAAATAGTAATGCTTGTTTAAAAAGTCCTGCCAACTAATCAGTAACTTAGCAGATCTCACTGTTCTGCACTGTTAGCAGCAAGTCGTTCTGTTCTTCACTGAGAAATCTTTTGTTGTTTGTGGTGCTTTTTATATTGCAAAAAGGGCTAAAATGCAAAACGTAAAAAACTACATGGATATTTGATATTTATATGTTAAAATGTCATATTTTATGAAAACACATAACCATTTTTCCATAAAAAATGTGGTTGTACTTTGCAACATTTGAGGAAATATTGATTTAACTTATTATTAATACAGATAACTCAACTTTCTTGTGAATTTCACTCAAAAATTTAAATGTTCACAAATTGATCCAATTAGCGGCTCATTAAAGCTGCACTATGTAACTTTTATTTTTAAAAAATATTTGTTTTTTTAACAAATTTGTCAAAACTATCACCATATCGAGACAGATAATCTATGAAAAAATGTAACTCCTCTGTCTGAAGAAATGCACTGTTCCCAACCAAAAACAACCAATCAGAGCCATGAGGAGGGTCTTACTGCTGTCAATCAACCACATATACTCAGTGAGTATATGTGATGTTATTTACTCATCAAAATCATGCCTGGAGTTTTGCTTTGATTCTTTCATGCATGTTTGAGAAATCCTTTAATTTCCATGGCAACCATTTTGCTGTTCAAAACGCCAGGGTGGACCTAGCCCCGCCTTCGAGGCATAGCTCCTCCTCAGAGATGCAGTTTCCAAGTTTCAACTCGCAGAGCAGCTCCTTCAGACTAGCCCTCAACAATTAGCAAACATCTGCTGATTATAGGAGCTACTTCTCAGTGAACTGCTAGTAAAACGTTACTAAAGGGTTAATAGAGGAGCCATGTTGTGATGGCTTCCTGAAGGCGGAGCTTCAGATAGAGACAGAGGCCCAATTTTAAGGCAAAGTCAGCTTGTTTTAAGCCAGATTTGATCTATGCAGCATTTTTTTTTAGAACATACTTGCTTGTGTTATAAAATACTGCCTCCAAAGATAGTTAAACTTTTCAAGAATATTCCAATAATCTTGTGGATGATTTTACTGTGAATCCTTTTTGCTCAAGTGGCTCTGGGTAATTTTGATGTTGTGTTGCATCAGTATCCTGCGCTCACGTTGCTCAGAGGTCACGCAGTTTGCAGCAGACCATCCTGCTTCGCAAACTCACGCAAGCTGCTGCGGACCACGGCGATAACACTGTTGATTTTGACGCTGTGGGATCAGCCGCGACAATTTTAACCCACATTTAAGCCGCTGCAGCCAATGGATCCGGGGGGCGGTTAGGGCTCGCTAGGGGAGTTGTCTGCTTACAAGTAAGCCGATTGGGCCGCCTTAAAAAGGGCACACCTCCGCCTTCTGCTGCTGCACAGAAATAGAAAGGTCTGGCAGGAAGAGCAGCTCTAGTAAGGGGGACAAATTAAGACGATTTACTCGGAGTGAGAGCCGGTTTCATTAGCCGTAGTAACTGTTTACCTTCTCCAGCCGGGCTGACCACCGAGCCGGGGGGTAAATCTGCTGTTTCGTTCAGATCCAAATACAATTATTTTCTATAATTCATTCTGAATTACAGCTTAAATCCACTTGAAGGCTTCCAACTTGTTAATTTTCTAAAGGAATGGCCCTAGACTTCGCCGCTGGATGTGTGGGAGGTGAGGCTGTGTGTTTTTTTTTCTTATCGGTGAGTTAGCATAGCTGGTTAGCATTAGCTTAAGCCTTGCCGGTGATTTTCCATCGCAGGAAGCTCATCCAGCTGGAAAATATAAGGAAAAGCTGCGAGTTTCAAACCTCTTCCGGGTCGACATCATCTTTTATAGTAACAGGGAGTGATGATGATAAAGTGGAAGCTGTGAGTTAGCATTTATTTGTTAATTTATTTATTTTGGGGGGCTGGTAGTAACCCGGATGCAATTTTTGGTATCTGCAGCTCAGATGGGGAGTGGTGATTCTCAGCCTGTTTCCCAATATCCCATCAGCTGCATTAGGAAATGCCAGCACTCTGATCTTTCTACAGGTGACACAGAGTTTAATAAACTCATTTCTGTCCTGGGTTGACTGACCATTAGTCATCATCATTACACATTGGGGTAAAGGGATTGGTTTCTTAAGTATGCAACCAGTTTATCCACATATTTATCCAATATTGGATAAAAAAGGAAGAAAATTGACTGGAAACGTTTAATTTATTCATTTCAAACAGTTAAAAAAACAAAACGAAGAAAACAAGTAACCAGTAGGATAAGTGAGAACAGCTAAAATAGTTAGCTTACCATTACTTTGTTTGAAAATAAATAGGAAGAAGTTAACATTTATTATGATTTGGCTTCCAGATTATTTCTTATGATCCAAAAGATTGAAATCTTGTATTTTAGTGAAAAGTTAGCATTTCAACTTTAAAGTTTGGGAACTTTTGTTTAATAAATTAATTTGAAACAAGTATGCACAAACAAGAACAAAATGATTAGCTTACCACTCCTTTTTGTTTGAAACAGAGTAAGAAGTGGAGACTTTTATTATGTTTTAGCTTCCAGATTATTTCCTATGATTCAAAAGATTAAAGTCTTGGGTTTTTATGGAAACTTATGTAAAAGTTGTCTTTTAACTTTAAAGTTGGACAACCTTAGTTCATTACACTATTTTTGGTGTTTAAGTAACTGACAAAAAACTCAAATGCACAGTAAAACATACAATATTTTTGTTTTTTCCTGCATCAAGTTTCAACATTACAGGGGTACCGTATGGAGAAAATGGTTGCCAACATGTGCTGGGTTAAATTTGCTCTACAAAACTGAAGTATTAAGATAGTATAGTTGCTTCTTTTTATCAAGACTGCTTGCAGCATTGAAGTAGACGAGCTGTATTTTTTTTAGTTTTTTCTTTTTAGAAAAAGTTACATTTTTTTTGGTCTCTAGAGCATCTTAGAATAGCACTTTATAACTATAGTTGCAGTCCTGAAACTGGATTTCGTTTGCTTTTGCCTCAAGTAACTTTGGATAATTAATTCGTAGATGTTGAATTATAGATGATCAGAGTGGATTCAGATGTCAACACTGTTGAATGAGAAGCTGAGAAACAGCTCAACATTTCAGGATTCATGAAACCGATAAGAACAAAATAAAGTAGACGTTTTTTCCTAAATGTTAACTGTTGCAATCTGGGAGTCCTGATTCGGTCATTCTTGGTAAACTGGTTTCCACAGAAAAGCAGCAACACAAAGGTTTGGGAAACTTGTCAGCTGTTTGGTTCTTCCCTCAAGGCCGTGCTGCTAACATCTGAAAAGAGTTTGGAGGGAGATACGAGGTGCAGGTGGCACCTTAAACAAAATCAAGTTAATAATAGAAATGAAAATATTTCAGAGTCTAGAGATTCGATTCAGACATTTTTTTTTAAATTGAGAAGCCAGTTTTTGTATTTAAACTGTTTAGAGATCAAATTATGTGACGAGGAAAAGACAGTGTGAACAAATAAAACATTTTAAATTCCTTTACTTTGTATTTAAACAAAAATGGGTGGGCTTAGCTGCCTAGTTTTTTTCTTTCTTAAAACTATACTGATAATATAATTTCACCAAAAAACAAGCAGATTAAAATTGATTTTTGTTTTTTTAGGTAATGTGCCAATTTAAATTTAAAATACTTTAATTCCTCCAAAGACAATTAAAATGTTGAGTTGTTTTGGGTGGTGATGCTGTGGACAGGAAGGAGCTCCAGTAGCAGTCAGTATTCCAGAGAATCTGCAGAAGCCTCTGAATGAAAACGATTCCTGTATGCTATGCTAGCAGCTAAATGTCCTGGCAGCAGAGACGATATTCCAGAGTAACTTGTTCTGGATTAAGCCATGAAATGTTGACAAGAATTGCTAATCCACATCATTTGTTACTAAATAAACGTATGAGTTGTAGCTTTCACATTTAAATTTTAGTTTTAAAACATCACAACGTTACAATGGTGGAAAGTAGAAATACTTCTCAATCTAGAAAAGTGAAAGTTCAAAACCCTGATAGTTATTGGTTCCGAACAAAAAAAATCCCCTTTTAAGTAAAAAAAACAACTTGGTACTAAACAATCTTAAAGTATTTTTGTCTAGTTTTATCTTAGTTTTGTCTTATTTTAAATGTTCAAGCTTTTCTAGCTTGTTTTAGGTTAATAATTCTTATTATTGATGATAAAAGTGCTAGTTCCATTGGCACATTATTTAATCTATTATGTGGGAAAAATGTTTTATTACAAGTAAAATAATCTGTATTTTTAAAAAAACAATATTAATGAATTATTGACTTGAAAAGCTGACATTTCTTGCTGAAAAAATACTTGTAAGTTAGTTTTGTCTTATTTAAAGTGAAATAATATATTTGTAATAGAAACAAGACCAAAAATACTTGGTAAGATTTTGTTTTTGCAGTGCAACGTCTGTTTTTTCTGCTTCTACTAACTCACTATAAATAACCCACTTAGGGTTTTCTGAGAAACATTTCTGGGGAATGTTTCTCAGAAAAGTCCCACATAAGTCAGCGAGTTAAAACCATCCCAGAATCAATCACAAAAGGTTCATTTTTACGCATGTTTGGATTTCAAAGTGTGCTTTGGCTCATAAATGGAGATAATTGCTGTAAAATTGAGTTTTGGGATCATTGACATGAGTCAAGGACAGGCCGCTTTATGACTGACGTCACTGCTTACGGAGTAGCGACCGACTGATAACTCAACACCACAACACCTGGCAGGATTGCAAAGGGAGCAAAAAAACAAATAGATTCCACAAATGTATAAAAAAAATACATTTATAGCTGCAGAAATGTGTGATAAAACTGATTAAATGTCAAAATGCAAACGGATTTGCTAAAAAATGTCAGTTTGGTGTCATTTGAACAATTATCTCCACTCCTAAGAAAAATAATTTGCTTTTTACTTTTTAGTGTCAGAACATGAGATAAATATTAACATCACATGAAAAGATACTTAAGAATGATTTAAATTAGGGGGGAAAAAACTATCAAAACCAACCTGTTCAATGTGGAAAAAGTAATTTTCTCTTTAAATTTAACTACCAGAATCTTTCAGTAACTGTCTGAAATATTTATTTCACTCTGGATGGATTTTGAGTCTCTATTCTTTGTTTTAATCAGCCACATTGGATGGTTTTCTAGCAACATTTAATTGAAAGTATGGATTTATAGTAATCCCAGAGTGAATCTAAGGTGCATGCTGGTTTGTTTTGGATCATTTTCATGCTAAACAACTCAAATATAATTTAAGATTAAAGTCACAAACTAATGGTCAAACGTTTTCCTTTGGGATTTTCTTATTGTAACTTTCTTCACTTAGCTTTCACGCTGTTATTGTCCGTGTTTTCAAGACCAGAAATATTTCCAAATTGCTGAATTGGATTTTTCTGATATGATTTGATAGTTTGGTAGATTCTGTTCGATTGGGCAACAAAATTGCAACATTTATTAAATTTTTTCAGCTGCTGTGTTTGTGTCAAATCAAACAATTTGAAAAACCTGTTCCCCCCTCACCTGTGGGGGCGCTGTACCAAGAACCACTGAAAAAAAAAAACCCGATGTGAAAACATCCAAATAAAGACAGAATTAAACTTTCTCCGTACAAATGTAAATAAAAATGTTTGTAGGATTTTTTTTATTTATTTATTTTTTTTTGTAAAAAACTACAAGCCATTTCTCCTGCTAGCACTAAGCTAGCATGCTTTCTGGTTGTATTTACCCAGAATGCCTTGCTCTGTGGTCCACTTTCTGCTTTTGGAGTTAGTGGTTTAATTGCAGATTCACACCTTCCCAAATAAACCAGACTGTTTAGAAAAACAAACTACAGTTCGATTAAATCGGACTAAACGGGGCCGGTGTCGATTCACCGTTGGCCGATTTCAAATTTATTTGTCGCACATTTAAAACAACTGCAGTTGACTAAAGTGCTTCGCAATTTACAACAACCATAAAATAAAGATTAAAACACAGATATTAAACAGAAACTAAGCAGAGTTATAGTCAAAATTTATTTGCTTTCTGCTTGGATTTACTTGTTGCTATATTTAGTGATTCTTCTGAAAAAAAATAATAATCAGGAAGTCAGAAAACTGCAATCGGTGTACAGATACACTCTTGTATATATTAAGTTTTATTATTTTGCAGGTGCTGCTGGTGTTTTGGTCGGCCATCCATTTGATACTGTAAAGGTGGGTGTTTCCTAATACTTTCCTTTGATTTTCTTTCACTCTTGTTAGGCAATAAACATAATTTAGTGAATTTAAATTTTTTGAATAACAGAACATAAACATTTTCGACATAAGGATGAAATTTGTAATCATTTTTCCCATGTATGTTTTATTTTTAGAGCATATTTCACTAAATTGGGGCCAGAAAAATCCTCTGACGGGACAATACTTCCTAATCCAACCCAGTTATTCATTTTCTTAAACTACAAAACCCTAAAAAAAATTAAATTTCCGGTGTGTTTACCTCAGAGAATGTGTGTGAATATTAGCAGCATTTTGCATGAATCTAGTAACTCATAGGATATGTTCACACTGCAGCCTGAAGTAACCCAAATCTGATTTTATTTCATTTTTTTGTAATTTTTTTTTTCCAAATGTGACTTTTTGTATTTAAATAAATGACAAGTATACAGAAGATTTACATAGGATTTTTCCTGAGGGCCTTTTCATTAGTAGACTGTTATTGTTTTAACCTATAGTTCCATATCTTTAATTACATGAGGAAAACATGGCGCTTTATTTGTAAATTTACATTTATAAATGTAAAAAGTTCATTATAAAAAAACATTTAGGATCCTTTCTGGAGAATTTAGAAAAACAGAATAAAACATTTCCCTAACTTAAGTAAAAACACCTCAAAATATGGTTATTAATAAATCTCCTTACAAAGGTCTGTGCCAAAACATGCGTCACAGTATCTTTAAATTTGACCGCAGGGTAAATTTTGTAAAGAATTTTAAATCACATTTCCTTCACATTGTTTACAATGAAATATTTATGGGGGATCATCCAGGCAGTTTTCCAGTTGATATCAGTCCAAATGAGGCTTGAATGAAACTGCGAAAGACCTGAAATGTTCCGCATGCGCAGTAGAGGGCGCCACGGCGCAGTAACGACCCAAATAGCGAGCATGCGCAATGATACAAAGAAGTGTTTGCGGAAGTAAACGTGAATGCTAATATTTTACGATTTTAAAGTTGTCCGACTGGAGTCATCTTAACCTCCTGACTACCAGGAAAAAAAATATTGTCCAATTAGCATTTTTTAAAAATCCCACAGTCTTTGTAAGGTAATAAAAGGTTTTATGCACTTACTTTGTCTCTTCCCATAAAATGTATTACTGATGAATGCCATTTTTATGAACTAGAAAAAGGTACGTACAAAAGTCCCACCCCTTCACATGTATCATTGAAAAGCCCTAAATGTCCTCTCCAGATACCAAAATGAATTAATTCAGTAGAATGCAGGGGGTGGGAGATATTCAAGTTTAGAAATGTCCTCTACAGAGGACAAAAATGAACTACTGGTAGTCAGGAGGATATTAACAACATAGTCCTCATTTTTGTCCGCCATAGTTGTTTTTTCTTTATGTTTGCGCGTATCAGGACGCATAATAGTGACGTTCGTCGAGAATCAATGACGTTCCGGTCGGATGAATGCGACCTTATCAGATAACGGATTTAGAGCCACATATCCAATCAAAAAATCCAGTTTCTATTGTTCAGACCGTCATAAAAAATCGGATTCTGGTCACTTCCGGCTGCAGTGTGAACGTAGCCGTCATAAAGTAAATGAATATCTCCGTGCTGGAAAAGCGTCCGCTGCTGGCATGGTGAGGAAGCTTCTTCACATGAAGGGGAATGTTAGCGTTGCAGCTTGTTGTAGAGGCTGAATGGATGTTGGTTGTAGTTCTTTTTACACCTTGCTGTTTGATGTCATTTCTCCCTGAGCCGGTGTCTGCTTGGGGCTCGGGGCGGCTGTCTTTAACAGCTACAGTGTCACTGTGTTGTAGATGAGAGAGAGAAATAAACAACCTCTCCACGGAAATGTGACCTAGTAAGTATGGTCCAGGTCTTTCTTTATCTCACCCAATGTCCTGTCTTGAGCTATAGAAATATAAAAGCCAAGAAGGCATTTTTATTTTTTTCTCCTATTTATTTTTATTTCATTTTTACTCAACGTGGTAATGTTGCACCCCATAAGCATTTTAACCCTTCAAACGAATGATTGTCTACTTATTTCCCTGCTTCGTACACTGAAAAAACGCAACCTTACCAAGTATTTTTGTTCTAGTTTTTAGTGCAACTTTAGAATACTAAAGCTCTTTAACACTTTCTAAATCATTAATAACTGTTAATGTATACTAAAAAATTAAGCTTACAAATGCTTATTGTGCTTACAAAATAGTCTGAAGCATTTAGTGTAAAAAAATAAATAGGTGAGACAAGAAACTAGTAGGTTTTATCGCCTTCTCACAATTAATGCATAATAAACGGTTATTAATGATTTAGAAAGTGTTTAGAGATTAATTAATAACATCTATAAGGGGAGCCTTATGGAAAAGTGGTACCTTAGTACACTTAAAACATGAAAACTAAGTTATAAGTAAGTTTTCAGTAAGATACTGAAGCTGGTTGTAAGTAAATAATTCCTTTAATATTGACAGAAAAAGTACTGGTTAAATTGGCAAATTATTTCACTTAAAACACTGAGAAAAAATAAAATAATCTGCCAATGAGACAAGTACTTTTTCTACAATTTTAAAGAACTATTTACTAAAAAGTTACAATTTCTTATTTCAAGTGTACTAAGATATTTGCACTATAAAAAAGACCAAAATTACTTGGTAAGATTTTGTGATTTTTGCAGTGATATATAGTCACTGTGCTCTTTATTTTGTGCCTTTCAAATGCTCCGCTAACGTTAGCGCTGTCGTCCCCAGGTGCGGCTTCAGGTTCAAAATGTGGACAAACCTCTTTACCGCGGGACATTTCACTGCTTTCAGTCGATCGTGCGCCAAGAATCGGTAAGTGTCGCCTTCTCTGTTATCCTACTTGGGTTTTAAGTGTCAAGTTTCGGCTCCATCTGCGATTACATGCATCAGCCCCACCTTAGAGAGAAGAGTGTCTTCCAGCTGGGATCAGGGAGCTAAATAAGGCTTTGGACTTTTGTGCTATTCATGGCGTATGCTTGGTCTCATCGCTTTCACACATGGTGGAATTATGATTATCATTTCACGTTTAGTTGATTCAAAACTTAGAAACTTGGTTGCATTTAGTTGGAGTCATGATTGTAAGTTAATGCAGCAGGATATTTAAAAATCTTTAAAGAACCTAAATTGGCATAGATGTTCCCAGGAGCCTGCTTGTTTGAAAAATTTAAGATGGTTGCAATTAAAAATTTATTTTTGAGCTGTATTTGCTAATATTTACCACAGATGGATATTTTGGTGTCAAATAAGGCATGATTGGACAATAAAAATATTTACTGAGATTTTTTTTCTGATTTTTCTGGATGTTTGCACTAAAATATCCAATTAGATGAACGTGTTTGTCAAATTATAGTCTGCATATACTGAACCATGGAAACCATTTATATTTTCTTTGTATGTTTTTTTTTCTGGTGGACATACGTCAAAATGGCTGCCATGGTTGTAATGGAGAATAAATGTTTGCACAAAAATCGGCAGTAGTTATTGCCAGTAGGAAACTAGCTATCACCAATTATTAGCAAACTCAGTAGTTAGCTACTACATTGGTGGTAGCTAATGCTACTATTGGCTACCACCAATGTAGTAGAACAAAAATTAGTAAAATCTAATGAACTCTCAAACTCAAAAAGTAGTGGAAGCTAACGCTAAGCACAAAAAAACATTGTCATAAACTAACTCCAAACTGCTAAACACACAAATTTATCAGGAAATAAGGCAAACTGTTAAGATGTCTTCATCTGTTGCACGTCTGCGTCTCGTTTTATGTTTCTTTTATAAACCCAGGCGAAAGAAAACCTCTTTGTTTGTCCTGTGTACAGATGCTCGGACTGTATAAAGGCATCGGTTCTCCAATGATGGGGCTGACGTTCATCAACGCCATCGTCTTCGGCGTCCAAGGCAACGCCATGCGGAAGCTCGGCCGCGACACGCCCCTCAACCAGTTCCTGGCGGGCGCCGCTGCCGGAACCATCCAATGCGTCATCTGCTGCCCGATGGAGCTGGCGAAGACGCGCATGCAGATGCAGGGAACCGGCGAGAAGAAGTCCAAGAAGAAGATGTACAAGAACTCCCTGGACTGCCTGGTGAGAATCTACAGGAAGGAAGGGTTCCGGGGCATCAACCGCGGCATGGTGACCACGCTGCTGCGCGAGACGCCCGGCTTCGGCGTGTACTTCCTGGCGTACGACGTGCTGACGCGTTCGCTGGGCTGCGAGCCGGAGGACCCGTACATGATCCCAAAGCTGCTGTTCGCCGGCGGGATGTCGGGCATCGCCTCCTGGCTCTCCACATACCCGGTGGACGTCATCAAGTCGCGGCTGCAGGCCGACGGCGTCGGCGGCGTCAACAAATACGGCAGCATTGCGGACTGCGTCAGGCAGAGCTTACAGAAGGAGGGGTACCGGGTGTTCACACGCGGCCTCACCTCCACACTGCTGCGCGCCTTCCCGGTCAACGCCACCACCTTCGCCACTGTGACTCTGTTTTTAATGTACATGCGACGGGAGGAGGAATGCGGCATGCAGAACACTGAGCCGCCCGCCGTGCAGCTGCAGCCGCAACCAACCAGCATGTAAGGTGCAGATTAGCTGATGCGCACCTCTCCATCCGTCTGTGGTATTTAAAAACTTTTTTTTTAAAACTAAAAGCTGAATTTGTGTGTATATATGGCTTCTTTTCTCACCCATGCTTTTCTACAATAGTTATATTGGGAACAGTATCGTAAGGGTGCACCGATTGCAGCTTTCAGGCCAAACTCAGGTCTTTAAGTAAGAAACATACATTGGTTCTGCAGTCATGCTAACGGTTAGCATTACTTTCTGCTAATTTCATGTTTAGCGATTTGGAGTTAGTTTCTGTCAATGCTCTGTATCTTTAAAAAAAAAAAAGCCGATTCCGATTTTGGACGATACTGTTTGTTTTTTTTTGTTTGAAATGTTGGTAAATGTAGCAGTTTGTAACAGTGACTATTGTTAACTGCAACTGTGCGGTTGAAATAAGATCGGCTTTACATGCAAGTATCGGCCGATCACCCAAAATAAATCGGTGCACCCCTACTGTATCGTTACTGTAATTGTTACAAACAAGTTTAAAAACTATAATGCTGTTTAGTAAGGATTCATCAATATGAAAATATGAGCCAATAACCATATTTGTTGTTAGTATTTAGAGATATTGTCTACATTTCACCACTTTTACGACACATTTGGGGTGAAAATTGAATATATATTGTTCATATCTGACAAATATTGTCCGATACCGATGTTAGTTCCGATACTATCTAGGTCAGATAGTGACTGCATGCATGTAAATTGGTGCAGTTATTCTGGTCATTTTTTATTTTAACTTATCAAAACTGTCATGATTATCTGGCATCTTGCAATAACGGAGAATAGTTTACAAAAACGTTCCCAAAGTATTTTTAACAGGTCGGCTGGCTTTGTGTGACTTTAACCTCCTTGTAGTGTTGCATAAATACATTTCTGGATATTTTCTCAGATAAAATCAAACGTAAGTCTGCGTTTTAAAGAAGCACCTTATATAACCACATGAATGGTTGAAGCTAAGGCGAAATGTTTTTTCTTTTTTTTGCAGTAACTACTTAAAACACTGAATGCTGTGTTTAGAGTTGGGTTGGAAGAAATGAAAACTGTTAGCAGAAGTCACTTTGTCCACAAGGGGGCAGCAGCAGACCAGCTACATTCACCCATTTGCATCAATAGCTGCTCTTTTTACATGACTGCATATTTTACTGAATAGCATGGATTAAACTGGATGAATGTTGAGACTTAAGAGCTTAAATGTGGGTTAAATTTCCCAATAATCATGAGTAATATCCCTGTATGTAGATGGTGCGTGTTGTTGGACATAATGTACATTAATGTGAAAGTGCTGCTGATTGTTGTCGAGGCTATAGAATGACTTTTTTGTAATTTTGTTTGCCTTTTTTCTAAGTTGGAAGGACTGCTTTAGCTGTCGAATGCTGCTTTGTATCCTGTGCTTGATTCTGTACGATACTTTGCACCAAAGTAGCCATTCAAATGTAGATCTTTAAAAAAAAATAAAGATTTGTTTTCTAAGACAGTTTGCACAAGTGTTAATTGTGGAAAATTAAAGCAGTTTGACGTCAGTAGATGCTGACCCCCTAGCGGCGAAAAGCAATATTACAAGTATAAAAATGCAAATCAGAAAACATTAAAAAATATATTTATTGTACTTTAATGCATTATTTGACAAAAGTGCTTTAGAGTTCTTGATCGGGACCTTGGTGTTAAATTGGTCAAAAAACGAACAGATGAGAATAAAAACAAACATTTTATCCACTTTAATGTTGAGGTTTGTTCCTTTTTAACTCTGGGGTGTCCAAAGTAAGGTCCGGGGGCCATTTGTGGCCCTTGAAATTATTTTGTTTGGTTGTAACCACAACACAAGAATGATCATTTAAAAAAAAATGTTTTTCTTTTAATAAGGCAACAATCCGAAGTCCTATTTTAAGTTCTGGATCTTTAATGAATGTTGAGGCCTGCCAGTAGATAAAATTAAACAGCTTTGGATCCTGGGACAAAAAGTTTGGACACCCCTGGTTTACTTGTGCAAAAGACGAGGCGTTTCTCTCACTGAGGAATTTCAACAAAGTTACACAGTAACTGGAATCAGCAAATCTGAGAACAAAAGTGCAATAATTCAATAATAATCAGGTGACTATTAAATGTAACATTCATGATGCGTTTAAATTTTAATGGATGTATTCCCGTTTTTTGTTTTAAATATCCTCTGCAGGTTTTTATTTTCTGAATATTTATTGAATTGTTGCACTTCTGAGCCTTGATATTTTTGCCAAAGCGGCTGAATAGATTGACGTCGCGTCTCCTTTGGGGCTCTAGCCGATTTTTCCAGCTTTGGGTGTTTTGGTGAAGAGGGTGCAGTCACAGGAGCGACGCAGGAAGCGGTAGATCTCCTCGGCTCTGGATCGGCTCATGCAGCCGCCTTTCTGGATCGACTCAACGGAGCTGGAAGAAAAAAACCGAGCAGAAAATACAGAATTATGACGCATTTATGAGTTTTCCAGATTCTCTACTGACTCAATTATAAAATAAATAAATTGGTCTATTCACAGATTGATAAATAAATGGATGGATGAGGGATAAACTTTTGCATGGATAGAAGGATGAGAAGATGGATGAATAAGGGGACAAATGAACGGAGGAATAACTGAACCGATGGATGGATGTAGGAGTGAATAAGAGAAAGAGGTGAACACCTACACCAAAAATGAATGGATGAGAGAACAAATGGTCAAAAGGAAGGATGGGCGAATGGTTGCATGAATAAGCAGAGCTTAATGGATGAACGGACTGATGAACATATGGATGAATAGAAAGAGGCATAAACGGATAGGCAATCCATTTAAAGGGACGGTGCCAGACCCGTCCCGGTTCTGTCAGAACCTTTACCTGTTCATCAGCTGTGCGACGCTGCTGAAGTTGTGCAGCAGGTTGAGAGCGTGAACATGGCTGACCGAAGGCAGACTCAGGTACATCTGCAGCGCCTCCTCCCTACGCTGACCTTTGACCTTCAGGGGCACCGCGATGCCCTGACCTTTACGGCTCTCCAGCTTGGCCAGGTCCACCAACAACCCAGCGCTCTCCTCGGCGCCGTCGCTCCACAGGAGGCGAATCCCGGCCCGGACCAGGGCCACTAGAGTGTTGTCATAGTAACGGGTTCGCTGGAAAGGGCGGGAAACTTCACCTGCGTCGTAAACAAAAACGGCCAGGCTTGTTTGTCACTTTTATAAAAAAAAATGTTTTTCACTTGTGTTATTGTCATCTGGAGTCAGAAACAGCCAATCAGAGCCAGGGGGAGGGGCTTAGCGCTGACAATAATCCTCATGTAAGCTTCGGCTGGTGGTTCACCACAACTTACCCTGCCACAAATGCTAATGCTAGTTAGCACAGCCACTGATGAACAGCCTTCCTGTAACTGCAAGTTGTTTCTCTGCCATTTGGACATAGAACAGCGCATACATGAGCATGATAGACAGTGTTAATACCTTCCACCTGGCTCTGATTAGTTGTTTGTGATCAAGAAGAGGTAAACAAATTTTTCATATTTATCTGTCTCCATACCATACGGTGAAAATTTTAACAAATATGGAAAAACATATTTTTTAAACATAACTTTATAGCTTTTCTTGTAAAAGTAACAACTTTTAATTACACACTGCAGCTTTAAATCAGGCCGTAAATCTTTAAAACCCACCCTGCTTGGACCGATCTTTCTCCACTATCAGACACACTCGCTCAAACAACCCCTGCATGTTGCTCAATCTCTCCGCCAGTCGCTTCCGGTTCTGCATCGCGGCCAAATCCGATTGGCTCTGCCTCATTACCGCCATGCGGTTGCTCACGATGAAGTAGTTGCTGTCCAGAGAGCAGACGTGGACGTCAGCCCCGTGGCGCTGACGCAGACTCATCACCAGCTCCACCATGCCGCCGGTGGAGCGGCTGTCCATCAGGATGCTGACCGACCCGGGGAGAGGCGGCGGCGGCGGCGGCTCGGTCACCGCCGGTACCGGATCCTGAGGAGCGGACCCCTGAGCCGCTGAGGACGCGGAAGGACTTCCCTGCAAAGTTAGGGTGAGAGGTCACAAGCTGCGCTTCCGTTACAAGTGTGCGCAAATTTTTGTCGATGTTGTAATAATAAAATAAAAAAAGACAATTTCGCAACTGCTGCGTTTCCATTACGCAAGACGATTTTAAAATCACACGTGAATAAGCTCGTGCTCGCGATACGTCACTAAAAAAACAATGCAGCGACGGGTGACGCATTGAAGTTACGCTCATAATCAGTAATCAGAGACGTCGCGTCAAACCCCTTAAAATTGGGAGCGGCTACAAATGAGGCATTTTGGGGAAATTGTATTTGCTAATTTTACAGAAAAGCGACGAATTCAACATATTTAAATGGCACACAACTTTCTATAAACTGTACACACAATCCGGAAGAAAACTAAACAAACCATCATGCTCTTACTACTTCCTGTCGTCTTTCTTCTTTGTTGTTTCCGCCAGTAGTAACATCCGGTTGTTGATCACGTGAATCAAACTTTATTATTAATATTAATATCTACAATCAACCTCAAAAAGATACCATACTTTATGTTTTCACAACACATACAGAAAAAAAAAAAAAACAAACTAAAAAATAAGAAAAAACCAACACAAACAACCCAAAATAAATCGAGACTTTGGCAGAGCAACTTTTAATATACAACATAAAAGAAATATATAAAAACAACAAAATTCAATGTTAAAGTGCTAATGTTTTCAAAAAGAAGTTGAGTCAAAAGCATGCGACTTAACAAAAGTGTTTTCAGTAGTTTTGCAAAATAAATCTGTTGTTGCAGCTGGAAAAAAAACACCTCTTTCGAGCACAAAAATGGAGTATTTTCTAAACTGTTCTTTCTATTAAGCAAATTTGTTTTTGCAGTTTTATAGTGAATGGAAACGCAGCTATTGTCTCTCTTAATAATTGTGGAGTTTCTTTACTGTTATTAAAGTCGGCTCTTGCTCTGCAAAGTCGAGCTCATCCGAGAGCAGATGCTGATTCTCTAACTTCTGACGACACCTGCAGGAAAAACAGAAAATTATTAGCACTGGGCAATAAATCAATAACATATATTGCATTAGACACATAATATGAATAGAAAACAAGTTAAATAATAATTTAAGTGAAGTCTGATCCAAAGTAGGTAAAGGAAGGGCTTTAGCTGCTCCTGACTCACTCATTTTTAGTTGCCTTGCAGCAACATGTTGACAAACTTTCTAGAAACTTTCTTGTTGTTCTTGCTTTGAGTTTGTCTCTCCATAAGCCTGTTACAATAACAATATTGCTGGACGATAAATTGTCCCAGACGTTATTGTGAAGAAGCTAGTTGAGACCAAAGCAACAGAATGAAGACTTTTCTCAACCAGTTTTTGGTAGAAATGGAGAAGAATGATAAATCATGCAAATGGAAATGATTGAGTTTTTTAATTTATCGTATAATTGATTTATTCCTTATTGCGACAGGGCTATATCTTCAAAAGCTTAAATAAACCTTAAATATAAAAAAGAGCTTTCTCTAAGGGGAAGGCGTCAGAGGAATATTCGATTGAATTCAAAAATACGTCATTGATCAAAAGGGAAATTAAATGTTGCAACTCATATTAATTGAAATTCTTCAGTGTTATCGTAGATGGTGACGGCTGTTGGAGGACAGATCTCTTGTAGCAGTCCATATTACAGCAAATGTGAAGAAGACTCTGACTGAAGATACTGTGTTTTCCCAAGACGTCCTGAAGAGGACGGTCAGTATGTCATCAAGCTACTTACCTCTCATGTTGCTGCTCTTCACTCTGTTCTTTACTCAATAATGAGACTTTAGAAGCTACGCTAGCATAAGCAGAGGACGCTCTTTTCTGCCCGCTGGGATCTGGATTCTGATTTTTGCCCACTTCCTCAGTCTCCTCTTCGCTGGACTCGTTCAGGCAGATGACTCGTGAGCGTTTGGTTCTGGTTCTTTGCTCTGCGGCGGGCTGAGTTCTGGCGTTGGTTTCGAGTCCCGCTCTGGCTTTGTGCAGGAAAATGCGCCGTCTGGTTGCGTACTGCCGTCTCCCGTCGGTGAGCGACACGTCAGGCAGAAGTTCGACGTCTTCAGGCTCTTCCTCGTTACTCTCCCCATCTTCTTCATCACTGCCAACCACAAAGCTGTCCTCTGCATACGTCTCATCCATCTCAGGCACCTGCCAACAAAAGGTCACTGTTTGTGTGTTTTCCAGGCATATAGTGGCATTTTGTAGCACAATTAAGTAATGATGTAAGCTTCAGCTGCTACTCAAATACACTGCAAAAACACACAATCTTGCCAAGTAGTTTTAGTCTTGTTTCTAGTGCCAATATCTTACTACACTTAAATTAAGACAAAACTAACTTAAAAGTAACTTGCCACCAAGGTATAATAAATTGTTTTATACTTTAATATTGATAAAAAAGTACTTGTTCCATAAGCAAATTATTTTACTTAT